CTCTTCTTCGAGTAGTTGCATTTTGTTTCTTCGCCTCGCTCCTGCGTGTCTAAAAATGTGGCGAACGTATTAGTCGCGCGAAGTGAGACTCATACAGGCCTTTGTCTCGCACGATCGTCTTGCAATTAGAAAAGTACTGGAGTTGACTCAAAGATAAGTACATACTTCTCCATAGTTCCGATTGCCTGATGGCAAGTTTTTTCCGAGACTCTTCTTCAATCAATTTCCACGTTTCATCGTCAAAATTATATTTAAAGCAGTTTTTTGAGGCATAACAATATTCCTTGCAACTTATTAGCAAGGAGCATCTCCGATAATGCGATTTGCTTCATTAAATTAGTTTAGTGGAAATTTGCAAGATTTACATCTTTGTTCCGCTGACGTTATCTTTTCGATCAGATTATCACATTTTCTTTTTGCAAAATTATGTGAAGTGCTCATGAAAGATTTAGCCTTTTTTGAAAACTTTCATACAAGTTTAATTTTCATTCAAAATCTGATTCTAAAGTTGATCAAAAAGAAGCAGTAGAAATAACGATGTGCGCAACTTGTGCTTTCACTCTTGAAATTTTCTAAATTTCCTCGATTTGTCTTTTTCCTGTGGATCGCAGGCGATTTGATAAGCTACAGTGCGCTCTTCTAGCAGCTGGGATTCGGTGTATCGTATCTCTGTCTCTCTCTATCGTATCTATCTCTGTAGACGGACAAAGGAACGTTAGCGTGGCTAAGATTCTCGAAAAGTCCGTGTGGAAGAGCACCGAAGAGATGGTGTGAGGATGTTTTTGCCGCATGTGAACTAGCTGTGTTGATGACATATCAACCTCAACAAATCTATAATCCTAATCGCTTGCGGGTATTCCCCACAGGCTACATTCCCCAACCGCTTATATTTAAGTGCCGAATCACTCGCCAGTGAGTGGCACCTATCTTCCAGGGGCCGCGCCAAACCGCGGCATACTCTTTCTTGCATACATTTCCTGGACAGTCTAATTGTGCACTGGTCAGCTCCGCCTTACTACCTATATAAGGAGCCCCCGATTGTATTATAGGTTGCTCCCCCCGGTTCAACACCGGGGTTCGTCCCAACAAACTATTCCAACGACTCCACTGTCGTCAGCGAGACATTGGTTTCCACCAAAAGCTGCGTCAGCAGTTGAAGTCTAGTTCGGCATCATCCAGCACACAACCGCGTATCAAGACGTTCACAGATGACGATTGCGAAAACGAAACGAGTGTTGTTGTTGGGGTCCGCATGACGAATGAGGACGGGCCATTAAAGTAGTCTGAGCAAGAGATTTTGCCGATTTCAAATTAGAGATCACAAAACTCGACGCTTTTAGCCTACATTTTGAAAACTGTGCTTCATTTCTACTGTTCACTATTTGGTTTCATTTGTACTTGTCTTCGAACAATATCGTTCGTGCCTGCTCAGGCACGAACTTGGTCATACCCCACGCGATTCTAGTCACCACGCGATTCGGACCTACAACGATTGTTTGTAACTTGTCGTAAGAGCACATTGCTTGAAACAGACTTGGCACATTTGCATCAACTTACGAAAGTTATTTGTCTGTGCATTCAAAATCAGTGCGGGGTGCATTTATAGAGCTCTGGCACGTCAAATGGCGTGGCGCCAGCTTTGGGGGAATCGCGTGAGGTATGACCGATGCCTAGCGGGCAGCACGGAAAGCCGCATCACCATGGGCTCAACGCCAACGAGCGTACCTGGCACGCGGCTGCCTGCCACGCCTGCGGGCGTTCAGTCTACCTCAGACAATTATTGCGACCACCCGCGGAAGGGCCCCCGCCGACGTTTCATCCATGCCGCGGATGGTAGAATAAACGCACGCTAAGCGGCCGAGAGTTACCCGCGGATGCGCCGGTAAGCGCTTGAACGACGCCCGCGGATGTCCAGACAAGCACCCGACAAATGCGCGATATGCATCTGCGGGTGGCCCGATAGGCGGTTGCTAAACGCAATAATGTACATTTATTCCATTTTTTGAATACTGTTTCCATTTCCCTCGCCTTTGCACATGGGTCAGGATACGCGCCAAAATTTGTTTTCCGTCGTAAGGCACAAGTTCCAGCTGCGAAGTAACCCTGGGAGAGAACCCTCGGTAGAGCGTCTTTACTACTAGCCACATTTCGATGAGCGATAAGCAACGAGCTAAACGTTGAGGGTACCTCTATCTGCGCGGCGTATCTCACGCGAGTAACGTTTTTGCTTACAGCATGTAAGAATTGCGGCGTCCGGCAAGGGCCGCGGCTCGCCAGACTGATTCTGTTAGGCCGTTGCCTAGAAGGGCCGGGGCCTGCCCGAAAATGACGTACAAGGCGCCCATTAAGGCCCGCGGCATAACCGAGATACGATGTGAGTGGTGTCCGACAAGGGCCGAAGCTTGCCCGGTGCAGAAACTATATTAGGGCCCGCGGCTTGTCCGAAACCAAATATGTAGTGCTTTCAATAAGGTCCGTGGCCCGCCCGAGTCTTTCTTCCCGGGCCGCGGGTGTCCCGGTAGAACAATTAAAACCCGCGGCCTTTACCTTGCGAAAATATTGAGCCGCGGGTCGCCAAGCAAATGAGTCAAGGGCCGCGGATGGTCAGTATGAAAATTCAACGCCCGCGCGCCAGCAAAAGACACTATTAAGGGCCGTGGATGCTCGTAATAATTGTCTGAGCGGCGATAACGGCAATTTGGCAGGCGCCAGACTTATTTGCTAAGCAGCTTCGCTACAAATCACTGATCTGGCCAATAGCCAAGCGGATAAGTCTGGCGTCTGCCTTTCGTGCAGTCGAGTGTAGCTTAGTGCGATCACTTGTCAGATGGGCAGGAATAGCAAGCGTCAGGCGACAAGTGCAAATGGGAGCAGCTTGACGTTCCGTCTGCTCATGCGCTATTTCTCGTCAAAGTACTGAGTGTCAATCATAACTTTGTTTTGGCTGCCGGAAACAGTGGGAGTGGAGTGTTGTTTGAGTAGCGAAAAAGCGAAAATTATATTAGTCGTCTAACGCCCCAAATCCGCCTGGCAGCATAATATATAGGCCGTCCGCGCAGGGCGCGGCGAGTGCGCAAGGTGTGTATTGCGCGTCACTCCTCTTTTCTCGCGCACTCTCGCCGTCTGTTTTCTCTGCACTTCTTCCAGTCATGAACTGCCTTCATCGTATGCGACAGCGTTGCTCTCCGTGCGCAGCGCGGACGGCCTATAGAATAGATTTTGAGGCGCATAATTCGCGATTTGTGCCAGTTTGATTCAAACTCAACTTCTACTAAATTAGAGATATGATAGTGATTCCCTTTCCTTTGATGTGACTCGTGCTCAAGAGACCAACCTATGCTCCAGTCTCAACCTATAGTCCTTGTTGTACGTGTACAGTGTGTTTCAACCCGGAGTAGGCGAAATATTCCAACTGGAGCAGCGCATCCGCACCGCCACTAGCTTAGCAAGATAGATTAGAAGGAAGAGGCGCAGACTGCAAAGCGGCGCGACTCATTGCGAAGCGGACTTCAGCCGGACCAATTTCCGCCTTAACTGAGTTGAAACTTACTATACTGCTCATTCGCCTGATACGAGTGGGCGTCAAAGACTTGCAAACAACGTGTTCGCGGGAATGGATACAGCCGGTGGGAGGAGGATTTAATTAGAGGCAATGGCTACCGATAACTCCTATCGGGTTCTGATGGTACAGTCTTTCTCAACCCAGAGTAAGCGAGAACATTCCAAGTGGAGCCGCGTCCGCACCGCCATGGCTCAATATAGATTAGAATGAAGAGACGCAGGCGAATCGTTGCCATGCGGATTCCCCCGGTCCAATTTCCATCTAAACTGAGTTGAAACTTACTATATGGTTGACTGCACGGAATCGCCCAGGCTGAACGCCTACGAGCGTGTCTCTTGCGGGCTAACATCGGCATTCGCGCACGAGTCATGATAGCTCCCGCACAGCAGCCGCGTTGCGGGCACGTTGGCGTGCGTTCAGTCTACAGCAATATGGGGCGATTTCATGCAGTCGACTTTATCTGGTAGGAGAACCCTCAAGCACACAGTAGCCCAAACCCCACCTGTCAATTCATGCGCTAAAAGTGCGCTTCAAAAGTCCACCACTTACACCGCTCAATGGAACTGGGCGGGCTGCTGGTGAAGCGCGTTTTTAGGACTTAGCGCACGACTTGAAAAGTGGGACTGGGGCTTTGTGTACTTGAGGGGACTACTTGCACCACTAAAGGCTGACAAGCGAGCGCCATTTTGCCAAGCCACTGCCTTCGATCATGCACGAAGCGGGAAATTTTGAGATTTGCGTGCTCGAATACAGGGCTGACCCTTTTCACAACTACTCAAGCAGTAAGCAAAACGTTTTGCAAATAGAGGGGGAGATCTGTGACCAGTGTTTCATGCCAAATCTGCACATGTACATACTGCTGCAATAATGAATTTCAACGATGTATTTCTCTTTCTAGTTGTAGTACCTTCATTTCAGTAGTCGTCTGTTGTGACTGCGCTGCTTTGATGTGCACTGGCATCAGCAGCTCCAAAAAAATTGAGATCCCTTCTTCTACTTCGCGCAGTTGTCTGTGCGTTACGGGTAGAGGACTATCTGTCGCCGAATGGGGCGCCCACAATCGTTGAAAACGAATACGCGCCTTTGCACATGCACGGAGGTGCGTTTTTCCAAGAAGTCAGCGTGGGACCCTCTCACATTCGGCGACACATAGTCCTCTACCCGTGCGTTAATTGTCTTCTCAAGCTCTATTATCAGCCATTCAAAACGTCTAATGTCGGCTCCCCATCCGTGAAGGAAGCATCAAAACATAAATATACAATGCTTGAGTGAATGATATCCTGCGTCTAGTCTAGTAATAAGTAACAGAATGTACGCTGACTCTTTCGAATGAAATCGTGAGCTAAAGTGACAGTGACCTCATCTGACAACATCTTTTCACCCCTTTCTCTTCAATTACTTGCAGAAACGAAAAAAAAACGTCACAAACGAAAAACCTTGACTGATCTTCATTCAAAGACTGCACTGTAACACGTCAAATAATAGGAGGCACGTGAACGTCAAAACAAAGTAAGCAGATTGAATCAAATAAATATGTTTGAACATATCTGACAACATTTTGCATTCGGTAGGAGAGATCTGACAATGAAAATTCGATGAAAATGCAGAAGTTAATTAGAGACTTATAGTAACCCCAAAAAGGCACCGCACATCTTCGCGTTGATAACTTAGATGTACGATGAGCAGCAGAAGGTAGGAATCAAGCATAGAGTGGGATGCACAATCGAGCAGATTACTTCAACAAGACGGTACAGCTCGATATAATAAAGATGTTAGTGAAATAGATTAGCCTTACTTCTTGCGTAGATGAGATCAAAAGAAAAACAAAAAGAAGTGAGTCTAAGGTAGTAACTCGAAAAAAGAAGGAAGTTGTTAAAAAACAAACGATGAAAGCCACAACCTCAAAATTCCATTTCTTCATCCGACTCTTCATTTTTTGGTCCCATCTCCTCATCAGAACCACAGGTTCGCTTCCTGCTCATATCCAAAGGCTCCACTTGGTCCTTCATACTGGGGCTTCCCGCAACTTTCTGCTTGAAGAGATTTTAACAGTAGACGTACATTATTTCCAGATTCATTCATAGGTGAAAAGCATTGTCTGCTCCCTTAGCATCAAAGCCCTACTAGTTTGAGCATTTGTTAATTTGGACTACGGTGAGGACGAAAAGCCACAATTTCTGCTAATCACTGATGCAGACGTACCGCATTGTAGGCGAAATCTGGATCCCAAAAATCGCAATCAGCACGTTCTTCCTGAAAGGAATACCAAAAGTTTGGGAGAGGCTAGCTCCACTATCAAAATTTTGAGGCAATCCCGTTACAACGTAAAACTCTTGCCTTCTTGTAGTAAATTTGAAAGCGCATCAAAAAAATTGGCGGGTCTGCTTTATCATTCAAAGTTCACCTATTACAGTAAGAGACCCTGGTAGAAACAGTAGCTAAAATATCAAGAAAACCAGCTGAGAAAGTTTGAAGGACCACAAACTCACTCCGAAGAAAAGCTGCTCAATGCTATACACATCCGGTGTTTCAGATGTGTACGGAGGGTTTCCAGTCATCCGTCGGCCATCTTCTGACACCGTAGTAACGACGTTTATAGTTTTATCAAGAGCTCGAAAGTATTTGTCAGCCTTCCGATAGTGCCGCGAGGGTGAGTGAAGTAATTCACATATCCTTAGACAAACAATTTCAAATGGTCTCCACCTACACTAACGTTCACAAACCTCTGCCAGGTGAAAGGCGCAGCTTCAAACTTAGCAGCCTTATTTAATATGAAGTCGTACATTCTCTTATTTTCGGATCCTTCGCTGAGGTCAAACGAGTCGGGTCCTTCCCGTTGTCGGTGCCACCGCACCATTTCATCCATGCAAGACTGAAATATTGTAGTTCGGCCTACTTACAAGCACAATTCAAATTGATCACCTTGATTTTCCACAAAAAGGCAGGGCGTATAATTTCCCATGGAAGCCGCGATTTTCCCGTCTCCGTGACATTTTCAAAATACGCTTCCACCATTGGATCTGGATGAGTGCGAAGTGGCATGAACGAACGTCGGACCAAGTCGCTCTAAATAATTTTCAACCATCCTTTCAATGCTTTGATCAGACGGTGGAAAACAAATTGACAACGCACCTCTTTTGGAACTACAAACTTCTCTAGAGCTATCTTACATTTGGGTAATGGATCTGGCAAAGGTGGCAGCTCGAATTTCATGACATCTTCATTATACGAAAACCCCTAAAAAATTGCATTAAGTATCCCCTACAACTGACAAAAAACAGCAACCTCAAAACCTTGGATTGGCGGTTTGTCCTCAGCCTGAGTAGGATTTGCTTCTCCATCAGCCTCAAGCGGCTTCATCTGCTCGTCCTCAGCCCGTTGAGTCATGGGCGTACCTGACAGACATTATTCGAAAGTGAAATTGGACGACTAAGATGAGATTAACATGCCTGCTGAAGTTCAAAGTCACAGACTTTTTGGCTCCTCCCAAGAGAAAGAAACGGCTCAAGCTAGAAATGATTATCAACGATGAGACTTCTATCTTGTAGCGGTAAGTAGTAAGCGTTAGATCTTGAGAATCTGTGCGGTCCACCCAACTTGATTACTATTGTTCCCTCTAAAATGTGAGGTGAATCTATAACAAAGCATGTTGTGAAATCTTCAAAAATTTGGAACGATCTTCGATGGAAGACTCGCAGACATCCGCCTTAAACCGCTCATCTACACATAAATGTTTCTGATACTTGTAGTGCTGACGAAGCTATCAACGACATGGTCTACCCACGAATTCCTAATTGAATTTATTAGCCACCTTCACACTTACTGACTGCTAGTAATCTATGGGAGATCGAAGGAAGTAAGAAATTTTATCGCACGCCAATACAGGGCGTCACTGATGTGACGGATGCTGTCGCGTCTCGCTAATCGAGCGCTTTTTCGTCCCTCTTGCCGTCCGCTATCTCTCCCACACACAAACTTCTTAGTTGGACGCAACCGCGTCCAGTCTGCGCGTGCGGTGAGTCGCCTATACCATCCAGTACCCATTCTCTCAGACAGCAATGTTCCCAGACATACTTGTGAGAGATTAAAACAGGTGCGTTCTCCAGATGACACGAAATAATCGGCAATTAATGAATCAGAACCAAATGGCAGAGTCAGAATAGGAAAGGTGATCGAAACTGAAACGGGCGTTTCTCAGCTACATAGGGAGAAGCAATGATACGAGGGAAGTAGTTTTGAACAGTTGCTCCTGGGAAAAACTAATAATAAACCATGTTCATCATTCTATGGGAAGTAGGGATTCCATTTCACAAGCACTCATGCTGAAACATGAATCTAAATGCAAGTCTTGACGGACTTCACAGAAGCATGTCGTGAACAAGAAGTGTTTGAGGAGGCAACGCGTGATAGTAGTATTCGTCCCTGCATTCCAGCTGACATATTGCAGAGATTGTGTGGTGTGACTAATTCCCCAAGCATTACGTCACTTCTGTCGTAACAAGGATGAGAATGAGATCAGAGCCAACGTCTTGTCAGAACGTGCAACCACGACCTTACAAATTCAAAATCCTGGCTTACTAAACCCGTCCCACATCGTTAATCTACGAGCCACGGCTACACGTCAGTCAGGACCAGCACGGTTGCGCGTACAAGTTACAACTCGGACTCAACTCCTGCATTAAGGCAACACGTCTCAACTTCAAGCATTTTAAAGCTTTGGTGAATATAGGGTAGTGCGACAAAAAGCCAAGGAAGTGCAGAAACGGGAGGATGAGATTGGCTGGACAATGCCGCGGATCAAGAAAAGGCTAGTTGCGCGGAGGAAGCCTACGAGAGGATGCTTACTAAGAAAGTGATAATGATGTAACAAAACTCCCATGTACATGTCTAATTATGTCCAGTTCTTACGTCACGGATTTTTCGCAGCACTCCATTCCATATAATGTGGCCGCACAAAAGTCTCGTAAAGGATAATACATGAATGCAATTAGCAAAAGGAATAAATGGATGACATCCACATCAGTTCATACAAGAAACGTCTTTAAAAACATGTTCATTCAAAGTCCAGGTCCACAAAATAATTATCTATTGAAACCTATGAGCTAGAGTACGTCAAACTTCCTTCGACTGGAGAGGTAGACTATATCACCACTCAGAAGATCTTCTACAACGTATCGAGGTATGGAACATGATCGACGTTTCCGTAGCACGAGAGCGAAAGTTTTTTCGAAATCTTTTTAGCAGCAGCATCCACTTCATCGCCCGTTACCTGAAATTCCCATCAAGTGAAATCTAGGAAACCAGGATGGCAAATACATTTTACAAGAAATGCAAGAAAATTTACATTTTTTACAGCTTCCAGTATAGCTCCTTCACTTGTAAGTCCAGCAGAAATCTGTATGGCACGTTCGATGGCTGACGGATACGTGTGAGCAGACGCTCGCAGCAGTTCATTGGCAGCGACGCGCTTGGCAGCTGTAAGCAAAAGATTGGTACTTTGCGAGATTAGTTCAGTATGTATCACCTTCAAGGTCAGTGCACTTGTAATTCTTGATGGCAGATGCAGCTGAGCTGACTGCTTTGGCAATATGTTTGCTGTCGCCAACAATGTAAACGCCAGCAAGTCCACTGTCTTGATAGGATGCTTGGAAAGCTGAGACGGCTGCGTTCTCACCAACCGCTCTTGAAACAGCAGCATTCGGGGAATTTCCAGAAAACCTATAAAACCAGAAACGTCCGAAGCAAAGTAGATTTGAGCGAGTTGCATATGTTACGCACTGCACAGCAGATTCTCTGCCCAGAGATGCGAGGAGGACTGCCTGCACAGCCATCGCTTTAGCGTCGCTCAGCGGTGCTCCTTCACCAGCTAACATGACATGAGAGAGCGATCCACCAGCAGGATGGCGCCATTCTCCACCCTTTACATCATAATATTAACCTCATAAGCGTCATATACATAGTATTATCTAATATTGGACAGTATACTGGAAATAAGTCGTAGCAGCCCACCTTGTAAGGGCTAGGGGCGGCTTCGATTTTCTGCCCATTGTTCAATGGAGCATGGGTTTCACCGTACACTACCATACGGTTGTGCTCTGTATTCAATCCATAGAGTACCGCTTGCTCGGTGGTAAGATGCTTGTTCTGCAAAGGGCACCGGACATAAACATAAAAATAATCTTCAAAAGCTAGTGACTCACAACAAAGTCGACCAAGGTTTTGTAGTGAATCTTGCCAATGCTGTCTTTAGAAGCATACACAGATCTTCCCAAAGACCCATCACGATATGCAGCACGGTGAAGATCTTCATAAACCACATCATATGGTTGCTTGTAAACGTTGTCGGATTTGAGAGTTAAGACGACATCCTCTAGCTCCCACGGCTTGCACGCTGGTTGGGCTATGTGTCCAAGAATCGAGACTCCAATGGACATCTCGTCACGAGGTAGTGCCAAAGACACTCCGTATACGTCACGTGTTGAGAAAGCTTTCTAGAAATCTCATCTTGATTTAGATAATGACTGATGTGCAAAGAAAAAACACACCGTACCACTTGCCCTCCGCTGACTGCAGAGCTCCACAAAAGGCTAAGCCCAGGATAAAGCGGACTGTCTGTGCCCACGGAATTACGCAAATGATGAACAAGCCCATGCTGACTAGATGTTTCGTAGCGTGAACCTGCGCGGAAAAGTAGCACCTAAACCGCCATGAAGTCAAATAAGACAGGATTTTTACGCAAATTTGAACGCTATGAAAATCAGATTACACCAACCAATTGGCTAATAGGGCCCTGATGATCCACAGAAGCGACCGTCAGTCCACTTGACAGTTTGGTGACCTGCTCGGTGGCCTAAACTTCAAGGTAGTAGTACAAAAAAAAAACAACTAGAAATACTGATTGAACCACTAGGATTTATAAGAGCTGCTTACCTTACTAGCTTGAGCGCGAGCGGAAGCGGCTGCATGCGCACAACGCACAGAATGACGAGACAGCATCCTCTTTCCAGACCTTCTGCTGAACAAGTATTTCCAAGCGGAATGTTAGAATCAAATCAAGCTTGATACAGACTGGGTGAACCAGTGAGATGTAAACGGGAAAATAATCAAGTCACCATATATTGCAAAAGACATATAATCTGTACAGATCAAACTCATCTACAAACATACACTTTTCAACTAGAAATCATAACCTATCTATCCTATCCTATACAATTCCTACTGGCGTAGTATATGACACAAAATGCGCTCATAACAAGAGGTTAATAACCCGAAATCTAATTCAGATTCACAAACAGCGACCGGAAGAGAAGTCTATGCACTTCGGCAGGCAGAGCAGTGGAGGTTTGTACCTGTGGGCCTGCTTCAATCTTCATAGGTAGTTCCCTGTCTGAGATACATGAGCGTTTCTTTGAACATTGCAGGGCTCGATCAGTTATGAGCAGCATTTGGCAACTTTGACTGCACGATATGGAAAGAGTTCCTCGCCACGAAAGGCAGCTTTTGATACGGTATCCGCGTCCTTGCCTGACTCCCTCAAATGCCGTCGTCGATCTACAAAGTGCGTAGCAGCTGGTCCCGGCCGGAAAACAGCTATCTTTTCTGCTAGCTTTTCTTTAGTACTTTTCTTATCAAGTAGCTTCCCATCGTCCCGCTGTGTCTAAACAGCAGAAGTAATGAAAGAGTGTAGAAAACTTTGGTTTCATTTCTTACGCCTTCTCACCTTCTGTAGGGTAATTTTGAACACTAGACCATTACCATCAACGGTCAAGACAGAATAACCATCGAACCAACTTAGCTGAACAAAAGAATACTTACAAACGGAGTGCAATGTATAGCATGGACACTGCTGTAGACCAACCCACATTCTTCATGCGATAGTCGAATCTTAGCAGACGTGGATTCATAAGGAGACGTAATATTGACACATACTTCACACGCCAGCGACACCGCACAGTTCCATCTTCGATCACAGGTACCACGCTCACTGCCTGTAATTATTCACTCTAATCTCGAACATGTTACGTCTGAAAGGGATTACCTCCATCTGCACATGTGGCAATGTGAACTGTCCCACAACGCTGATGGTTCCAAAATGTTGCATGAGCTGATCTAGCCCACTGAAAATTTTCTAAGTATTGAAGGGTAGAAGAGAGATGGTTTTGGTAAGAACAGTAAGTTTGTATTGGCTTTGTGATGAACTGATGTGATAGAGTGTTTTTTCACCAAAAAAGAAGAACTTTTCAGAAAACGGAGTGTCTTGCGCATCAAATCAGAGCTGCATAGCTTCTCTGTACAAAGTCTCTAGTCGAAGATTTGGAGTAAACTGGCATCATCAGGTACTCCCGATGTTTTCTTTTCGCCAGCCACTGCGAAAAGAAAACATCAGGATCCATAAACAAGAAAACATCCATATAAAAACAAAACAGAAACCAAAAGAAAACCCAGAAGTATATGCTGACAGTGGAAGGAAAGCAAAACAATTATAAAAAGTCAGTTTTTCTCTTTGCTCATGACCACAATGATTTGAATCGCTCAACGGGTTTAGATCCTTTGATTTTTTGTTAAAGTGGAAGAATAAATGAGAAATGATTGAAACATAAAACAAATTAGAAAAATAAGAAAAGACTACTGATAGAGAATATTGAAAAACTTGAGCAAGATGATCCGATGAATGAATGTAATCTCTCACTATTTTTTTACTCCAAAAATTTGGTCGTCACAGAAAACATCCTTCCGATAGAATGTGTAGTCGAGTCTTTGCTTGAACATAAGCGGAACCTGTGCAAAGAAGAATCGAACAATAGAAGACACTGATGAAAAAGACTCACAGTCTCAACCACCCGCGCTTGAACATGTTCTAACTGGAATGGTGCCGGCTTCTCATGAGAGTAGTCAATGTCGGTGGAGAGCACACGACAGGATTGTGAGTATCCTGCTGCGGCTCGCAGGGTACATGCTGCGAAACGCCGCAGCATTCGAAAATGCTGACGAGCTCAACTATAACCTGTATATAGTCCACCCAACAATGATTACGACATCCACATTAACCGAGACTAAACTGGTTCAGACCTCCAGATTGTAAAGCTCAAACAATAGTTTAATCTTATTTATGCATACGCTTACAGAACAGCGCACAGCACATTTCGATATAATAAACGTGATGAAAAATCAACCTCTAACAATAAATCCTATAAATGCAGGGAAACTTGCAAGAGTGAAATGCTCATTGTTTCCCTTGCTCGACTAACTGCTCTGCCTCACGACGTAAAGCCTTCTCTTCAGCCTTTGCCCTGATTGCATCTTGTTCCGCCTTTATCGCTTCCATAACTTTAGCACCTTCACGGTCAGACGCGGTTATCTGAGTAAAGAGATAACTCTTATGTAAAACTTCGTGCTAACTAAGCTCACCTTCCTATTGACAATTTTGTAAATAAATCCGTCACGATTCACATGTATATCTAATGCTCCCTCAGCCGTAACAAGCTTAGGCTGTAATGCATGCTGAGTGAGTGACACCAAAGGAACACTTGCCTTTTTGGTCATACCTCTTTGTGGGTTAAGAAGGAAGGGAAGTACGCCCAGAAACTGGACTCCAAGGTACTCAACCTCCATAACAAAACAATGACGTCTTCGTTCTCATATATACAGGAGCCAATTCTCTATATTATGAGTTCATTAATATATTAATGACACAGGTAACTTATAGGTCATTTATAAAATCGTGACGACGGGTTTGACTGCGGCCTTTGCTCCCATATTAGCATAGAACTCTTAGACAAAAGGTATCACAACGCTCAGCTCAGCCACCTCCAGTGTCTAGATACTATAATACATAAGCTGAAAGACCACTGAAGTAGAGATGAAAACCTAGAAATTGCGGTTGCCGGAAGTGCGTGCCTTTCGTGCGCGGTCGCTCCATCGTCACGATTTTTCGAATGCTCTATACTAAGAAATTAGACACTCACCTCAACCTTGTTGAATGGGGAGCGATACCGGTAATAAAGTCGTATTTTGGCGATGTGGGTAAGCAGCTGTGATTTCCGAGATAATTTGTAATTGTAAAGTTTATCCTCAAAGGATACGTCGTCGAGGCAGATGTCAAAAAATGGTTTCAGCCTAGTCTTGAGAATACCTGGGGTCTGACAGAAAAGGTTTGAAACCGATAATAAATCAGAATATCTAGCTTACCACATGTTCGAGAAGCCAGTCTACTCTAAGAAGAGTTTCTTTCGAGGGGATGTTAGAATTTGCATTTGGCGGAGAGGAAAAGTTCCTGTGCGAAAGCGAGGACCGACAAACAGGCGAAGAGACTGGAAAGAACGAAAAATATCAATTTCCTTTACATAAATAATTTTAAAGTAACCTTGTAAAGGCGTTGAACAAGAAGCTACACTGCATAATTTGAAGATATGTGCAGACTCGAAAATATGGGAAGCCTTTAAGCCATTCAAAACAAAGCTCATGCTCCTCAAGATCTTAAACACACACAAAGTTCGAAATTAGCCTGCAATACACAGCAGCTTCTTTGAAATTTTGAGCTTTTCAACAATAAATTGATACGACGCTTCGAAGCACAAAGACAGGCGAGGCTTTAAGCGCATCGTTTGTTTGTAGAATGAACGTTGGGCACATTTTATTTTCATAGACAGATTCGATTTTGCACTTGTGTTCGGGCGCGATATAAAGCAGCGGGGGCATTGACTGCTTGTCTACTTATTATAAATATCACTCCAGGAAACGACATCTAAGGAAGTACGGATGCGACATGTGCGGCATTTCCGCGGTCTTCATCGCTGGAAGTGCATTCAAGATGCACAAATTCATGTCACCTGAAGCTGCGTTGGTTTTTCATCCATAGGTAGGCAGTTACCAAAGTGGTCATGAAGTACACTAAAAAGTATCTGCAATTCAAAGTTTAATGAGATCTGCTTCAATCATCGCTTGACACAAGTTCAGTTAGATGACCCTATGCGCTCAGAAGAAACAGTAAACATGCTTCAAATACGTTTCCAAACTTTCATCTATTTACTAGAACAGCAAAGAGTCGACTTATTCTGCTGTTCGTTGAAGTCCTTCCCACATTCTCTGTGAGCTTAGAACAGATGTATAGGTCTTCTTAAAACCGTGACGACAGGATTGACTGCGGTCTTTGCACGCACAGAGGCAACACCCATACAAACAGCATTACCTCAACGCTCAGCTCAGTCACTTCCAGTGTTTGAATACTCTCATTTTCAAGCAGAAAAACCTTCTGAGTAGAGAAAAATGGTTTGCTGGAAGTGCGTGCATGTCGCGCGGTCGCGCCATCGTCGGGATCGGCCATACTATTCCTGCTATTCCTACGACTCCTGCGATTCCTGCGATTCCTGTGAGTCCCGCACAGTTTAGACGCCGCTTAAATGAGCGCGTGTTGCGTGAAACAACACGTAACACGCAACACGCGCTCATTTAAGCGGCGTATAAACTGTGCGGGACTCACAGGAATCGCAGGAATCGCAGGAGTCGTAGGAATAGCAGGAATAGTATGGCCGATCCCGTCACGATTTTTCGAATGACCCGTACAATAAAAGGTGGGCGCTATTCCACATTAGTTGACCCAATAAATAAGAATCGCAGATTTTGTTGAAACTTGTCTAGAACGAATATCACATTTATTTCTCATGGTATGCCATCCGGTGGAGTTATGATAGGTAAATAGAGGGTCTAAACCACGGATTTGCCCCAATTCGTCTAGGGGAGGGGTGGAGGTATTTGGCAAGGTGAACATGGATATTATGCTCATTCCGTACATTAGCGCGGGTTATTTTTTCGGGTTACAGTGGGTAGACAGCTAAGAATACCGAATTTGCTCAAAGTTTGCCTGAAGGGGTTCTCAAGCATGTTGTTTGCAAACATCATGTTCGTTCGTTGCAACAATGCCTCATTTAGTTACAGTGCGTAAAAGAGCAAAATTTGGCTTTTCAGCCAAATTTAGATTCCAAAAATCCACGAAAAGGCTTTATCGTGCTAGACGATGCAATATACGTGATCAGCACGTCAGATCACACCCCTGCATAAAGGTTCGAACAGATCTATTTACCACTTTAGCCACCTACCGTATACTTCTCGTGATTCCGTGAAGTTCAACCAAAAAGAGCATGATTCGTAATCATGGTATCTAAGATCCCCTCCATAGGTGCGATAGGGGGAGCCGGGCCCTCTTCAGGTGAAGCAGGTCTCCACTACTCCCATCCTTGTAAGGTGAAAAGCGTGAGCCCCGAAAGCAAAATGCCATAACAAGCTACACACCATTTGAAAGCTGAGGTCATGGAGAATTGAATAACACTGTCGATTTTTTCTAGGTTTTTTGTACTGGGAAATATGAGCGAATTTATCTGGCCAATATAACAACTGATTTAGTGTGCTCTCTTTCTGCTTTCTTACCGCAATCGAAGGCTACGGAAAAGTCGACGGACTTTTATTGACGAATACTTGCTTTATAACATAGATGGATAAACAGGGTTAGTTAGGTCTTCGTTGGGGAGAAATCTGCTGTCAAAAATGGACATAATTTTACATAAAATGCGGGGTATCTCTCGGTAAAGTGGGGCTAGAAAAAAGTCGACGGTTTACGTCGAACCCCTGTTTCTAAGCTTTTGAATTGTATATAGATTGTGGGCGAAAAAACTTGGCAGTTCTCAAAAATTGGGTGGAGATATTACTATTAGCTTGCTCCACCCCACTACTTCAATGTATAGGCTTTTATGGGTTACCGGAGCAAGCATTTTTTTGAAGCCAGGAAGCTTAATGCCTCAGCAAGTTATATACCATTCGAAAGCTGAGGTTATGAAGAATCTACATAGGCCGTCGACTTTTTTCTATCTCTTCTTAGCAGTAAGATATGAAGGATTCATCTGACCGATATATCCACTGATTTGCTTTAGCTGACTATTCACGGTAATCACTGCGTATCACACTGTGCTGCTTTTGCCTTTAACAAGAATTTTAATTTTTACGAGCACCGACAACTTGGTAGACGTGCCATAGATATAGGCTTACTTATTAGCTGGTTTTTTTCTTGCTTCTCTTACAAGCAAAGACGTCTATCTGTTTATCTATCTCAAAACTGTGGTAAGGCTTAAAAATTCGATTATCGCGCAAATCGCAGGTATTTAGAGCTGTTTTTTATTCTAACAGTTTCGAGGGCGCAAAAAAGATGCCAATAATCGGTGGGTAGAGAGGAGGGGGGGGGCATTAGGAAGAGGACGCTGCCTTTGAGAAGATGAAAGCGGTCGATGCACTAAACTCAGGTGGTAAGTGGAAAAAAGCTTGAAATTCACGTCCTCGGAAAGACGTTCTACAAGAATATCCACGAACTTATTCGTAGTTTGAGAATTCAACTTAATATTAGTACTCTCAACTATAATTTTATAATATTAATATATAATATATATAATATTTCAATTATAATTATAATTTCAGATTTTGAATTTTTTTCATTTTTTATATCCTTTTTCTCCAAGCCTTTTCATGCTCTTTTGTCCTACTGGCTTGCAGCTTCGAGGTAGGCAACTTATCATTTATATCTAACCATTTAAAGGGAGTTATGACTTGCCAAAAACAAGATTTAAAAGAAACCTTTTTGTTTTTCAATCCAAATTTTTCTCCCCGTTTGCGATTCAAGTATGATTAAATGTGCGCTGTATTTCAAAAGTTTTGCTGCTTCTGATGGTCTTTATCGCACTCAGAAATGTAGATATTTCAAGAAGTTGTAGCACGTCAAAGTGAGGATTCGCGGCCATTATTTTTGCTTCAACCTATCAAATGCCTGACATCTTGCGGGCACAGGAGACGGATTGTACCTGAAGTTGTAATTTTAACTGCTATTTAAAGCACATCTTAAACAGCCAAAATATATGTATTGTTGAGCTTCATTAGTGTCCCAAATTAGCGTTTAGAATGAATGTTTTTGTATTAGATTGTCCCAAAAGTAAACTCCTTTTTCATGCAATTCAAACTGTTTTTGTTTTCCCAGTAAACTTAGGGTATCATTCGGTAGGGTTAAGCTTTACAAAATATCCACCAAGGGTCCGCCTAAGTCGCATTCCATGAAAAGTTGAAAGCCAAAATTGAAAAAAATTTTGTCACCTGAAAATTAGATTCCTGTGACAAAGGATCCTACAGACCTCCAACATGGTCATTATATAGTAGGCATACAGTAGTACTCAAATATGCCTTTGCCGAATTTTTTCCGAGCATAGAAAAGAAACAAAAATTCTCCAAAAATGGCATACTCCGCCCCCAGCCCCTCCCACATATGTCGTTGTATACTACAAGCCTTACTGATCATATTTTTAAGATCTTACCCCTGTATGTGCTTTTATAATCGAGAAATACCAGGTTTTACATAAAAACCCGAAAAAAGTGGCATTTTCGAACCATCTTTTCTCATTTTGAGCCCCGAAAAAAAATTTGCCAATTACATTTTTGGGTAAGACTATGTTTCTACTATATAGAGACCATGTTGGAAGTCCGCAGAAATTTTCTGGAAGGAGATCCGATTTTTAGAGTAGCTGAAAAATTTCGATTTTTGGCCCCAAATTTTACCTAGATTACTTAGGTAGATCTTCGGTGGTCTTTTTGTAGAGCGCTTGGTCCGCTCTATCGAGTGGTATCCTAAGTCTGTCATGAAAACAAAAACAGCTCAGTTTAATTGAAAATGGATTTTACTTTTGGAACAGCCTAATATTCAAGCAGTTTTCATGCTTTGGTTTGCTCAGCTGTTCCCAGTTTTTTAAAAACCAAAACTTTATACGATTATCATTCTCCCTTCGTATATCATAAGCGTAAGTCTGTCTGCTAATCACAAAACATATTATAAACATCTCAGACTTCCGGTCACGGTGTATTTTTTCACTTCTTCAGCTGCATTGCATAGGTTCTGTCGGTGATGTAAATAAAACAAAGATTTTTTCTGATGCTGCAGTAATCCATGCGATTGTAATATCTCAAAGTGAATGCGAACCGGAACGGAACTTCTTCTCCTCTTTTCAGGAACCAACTTCACTCAAAGCAAATGTTGTGCGTCAGAAGGATCCTCCATGCCTTTTTTTAAAAGAAATGCTATCTAATTAAGACAGTACGCCCATTATATCGTCCCTGATTGCATTGTCAGATGGTATCTCTCCCGTTCAAATAATCGTCGGAAAGATGAGGTAGGGAATGGAGATTGCAGTTCAAAAAAGTTTTACGCGAAAAGTCGATTTATCGGCCATTGTTGACTGATAAAAAGTCCAAACCAAGAATTTCGAGAAACACTTGCGACCGAAGTTTGCTCAAAATACCCGTCACGAATGCTATTTTCGTACAATTTTTGAGTAATCGACTTGACAGCTATTTTTTCCTGAGACCCACACCGTAAAAGAGTGGAGTTATTTGAGAACATCACATGCACTTTGATATCATCTCTACATTGCTACTGGTAGCTTCTAAAGAATAGCGTCTGCAGACGTTATTGATACTGCATTATTCATGTATGCATCACTTGCTGTTTAGTTATAGTGTTCAATCGTTCAAGTTATTAT